GTACAAACTGAGACGTTAATAAGCTTTAATTAGGTATTTTTTTCAGGTGATTAGAAGGTATCAAAGGAGTCATCGGCGGTAATTAGTGGAAGTCACGCCCAGGTCAAATTTCTCAGTCATATCGCTATTGTATACACTACCTTTTTTATTCTGGTTTGCACAAACGTTGAATAGCCATCAAACATTCAAATATATTTAGTTTTTAACTATCTATAATTATATGCACCCAATTTGACCCTTTGACCTAGATTTGATTGGGATGGAATATTTATTTTAAACAATATTCTGACGTTACTTACTGCCCCCAAAATGTTTCAACACAATTGCGGTATGACTGTCCGATTTATAAGTGCATCGGGTAATATATTAATAACCATTCTCACCAATCGCTAGCTTAGGATTTCATGACGCCGTCTCACAGCGGTTGGGTACGAAAAGCTCGCACAGCAATTCACACTTATTGTCAAGACAATGAATGAACAGAAAGGACTGGGAAATTAAAAAGATTATATTTCCACAAAGTTAAATAAATCTGGCTGCATCAAAAGCTTGGAAACTAGTTATAATATTTTGCAAAAGACTGAGTGATCAACGACATCATTTTGGGATGCAATTGAACTTGAACTTCTTTGCGTAACTTACTGCGCAACGATGCTGACATCAAGTGTGTGTTGACCGAAGTTTGACCCCTAAGTCACACACTGAACAGACACGTTACCTTAGCAATCTCTTTCTTTCATGCTCTGCGCGTCGATCTTGTAAAATTGTTATTAGTTCTGACGGTGCTGTACGCAAACTTGTATATTTTGAGGTCGTTTACTTAGTGCGCTGCTTTTCTATTTACGCAAATTTGTTTACAATGTTGTACCGGCTCTAAAAATTTCAACATTGTAATATATCGCTTTCATAATAATTACGCAAAGTCAGTTATTTAATATTGGACACAGGTGAAGTTTCGTCTGCGAACGATACAATGTGGTATAGATTTGAAGAGTAGTTCGGAATTTAAAAATAGTTAGTACCCGTTGTATCCCCAAACTATATCACTCAAAACCACTG